TACTAATTATGAACTGTACACTTATAGCAAAACATGATTATGTGCATCAAACACACAATCTACGAGGCTACATAACCAATCTAGCATGGACATACAATCCATGTGGGTAAGTAACCAGTCAAATGTGGTTGAAAACCATAAAATAAGTGTAGGCATAAAGCCTACGAAAACAAACATGAGTATGATGCTCATGAATAACTATCCCTCTACTCCACATGCGTTGGCCATCGCATGGGCTAATACCTCCTATAAGCACCTTGCTAGCTAGACATACAACAATGGCGTACCAAAGGCTAACGGGATTGTCATTAGCATCTAGTTTTTTAAATTCAGTCCTCTTTAATAAAATGAAGTATGTATGGAGCAAGAAAACAATTGCAAAATTTTCTCTTTCAAACACCATTCAACCATCATTTTCTATTGTCCAAATTTATCATTATTTCCTCCATTCATGAATCATTACATTAAAATAGTTTATATCAACATAAAATTCAATAACTAAACTATATAAAAAAATGTGCATCATTTATCATATGTATGTTTCAATCATTACTTTTCAACAATACAAATCATCAATAAAATCAAGACACTATCTTTAATAAGAAAATTATTATAAAAAATAGGATTAGCAATAATATTTGTACAATTTATAAGGGAATAATAGTAAAATTTTAATAAAGGATTTTATAAACACTTCACTAGAAATTTATTCGAAGCACTACCCACTCACCTGATAGTTTTCCGAAATTCTAAAGCATGCTTCTTTAAATATTTCACTTTAATTCTAGCAGTGTTCTGGATTTCCTAACAAATAGATCATAATTCTAAAATCATATAATTTATCAAGAAATTTTCCAATCACTTACTAAACATTTGAATTCAATCCAAACAACATCAAAGATAATACTCTAACAATTTATGTTTCAAATACAATTTAGTTAAATCATTTGAAAACTTTTAATTTATCCTCGTACTTCCTTATGATCCATACTCATTCATAAATAATAATAAACCATATTGATCATTATTAAGCTTCCTCTAGACTGAAAAAAAAAAGTGGAACAAGTATCCTATATAATCCTTTCTCCTGCTTTAGTATTTTAAAATTTTTAATTAATAACTTGATCTAGAATTATAGACACTTCTTCAAGCTATAACATAAAAGCTTTAACAACCCATAGTTCACCAAATTCTTCTTTCACACATTTTTACAAATACATTAAGAGCATGCATTTATCATTAACAAATTTATGAGATAGGCACCCATGCAATTCAACAACTTTCAAATTGTTAATTCCATCCTAAAAATTGATTTAACATCACAGCATGATAATATTCAGCACTAACCGACACATACACCTCAACTCTTGCTAGAATTGCATAATAGTAGCAACATGGAATAGGAACATCACTTATCAGCAAAGGAGGAAAAGAAAGATACTGTGCTTTTATAGAAACTAAAAAGGAAGAAGAAAAACAGCAACTTTCATCAACGAAACACAGTGACAACAACTTAAATCAAATGTGCTTAACACTGAAGAAGGACCAAAGAAAAGCTTTGAGTTTCCACACGCATGAGAAGGAAGAAGACCAAAATTCAACCAGAAAACAAAATAGTCGAGCTACCATACGAACATAAGGAACTTTTAGCAATTGAGAAGGAAGAAAGAGAAGGACCGCACATGCGTGCATACACCATCTTTGTAAGCCACAAAAAAGAGTAGAGCTAAGGAAGGAAGAAGATAGAAAATTTTAGCTAGCAAACACACAAGTTAGATAATTACCATACACATATAGACTTCCAACTATTAAGGGGAAAGAAAAGAGAAGTTGAACATACATGCATGAGCGCACCTTTTTCCACCCCAGAATAGCAAAGAAAATAGCAGAGGTTTAGCTTAGCACAAGATGAAAAAAAAACAGACGAATAGTAGAGATGATCCAGTAAAGCAAGAGGCATGCCGATGGTGAGGAGATGAAAAAGTCGGACGCGAAGAGGAAGGGCTTGACAGTGACGAGAAAGGAAGTCTATGGTCAATGAAGAGAAGAGATGAGAATGCTCTATTTTTCAATCATGAAGAATATAAAATTTGATCAAAGAAGTATTCAGAAAAATTACAAGAAAGAGCACAAGAAAATCAAAAGGAAAGGCACAATAAAATTATGAGAAAGGGTACTACATTTTTCTATAATTTTAAAACTGAACTTTTGCTCATAAAATTTTGAATCCTAGATCCTTAAGAAAATTTCTAGCATACATTCTTATTAATATGTTCTATGTGTAAACTACGGTCCTAAAACACTAAAGTTATTATTGTTAAATGTTGGTTGAGTTGATTTTTGAAAGGTATCTTGTTTGATTCAAGTATAGGCCATTAAAAATTTTTATATTTATATAGGATGTTGGGAAGAACTTGGTAAAGGTTGAAAAGGAGTGACTTTATGAATTTTGAAATTTGATAGGTAAGTAGATAATATCTCAATCACTTTATATATATTTGCAAATTTTCTCTTATCAAATATTATTTTCAACAATTTACAATTATTAATATGTTTCTTTAGTATTGATTATTGTTGTTAATTAAATTTTTTTAGCTCTTGAAGTTGTCATGATATATATTTATAAGATTGATGAAAATACTTTTATAAATTCAAGTACTCTTTTATTCAATAAAGACAATCATGAAAATTAGTGAAGAAGTTTACGAAACATTAGTTGAAATTTTCATATTTAAAAGAATTGATGTGTTAATAGTTCATATGAGTTTGATATTGGGAAGAGAAAAATTTAATTTTGAAAGTGATGAATTTCTAGCATGTTTGAAAATGGGTTTGAAGGAGACTTTATGCAAAACACTAGTTATTGACGGCAATTCTGTTAGCCCTTGGCATGCCATGATCAATAACTAGCTAGTTTGATTTTCGTGAGCTTTGTTCTCACATTTGTTATTCATGGGTCTCATACTCGCATTTGTTTTTGTGGCTTCGAGTCGTGTTTAGTTAGCATTACTCTAGTGGATTGTGTGTCCATGTTTGTTTTGTGACTTTGGCTACATTTAGTTACTAATCCTTATAGACTGTGTGCCCGCATTTATTTTTGTGGCATAAGCTACATTTAGTTATTTACCCTTATGGATTGTGTGTTCACATTTGTTAATTATTCTGATAAGTCTCTATAATCATAAATTAGAATTATTTGGTGATTTTACATCACATTATTTTTATTTAGTGATTTATTTATAATTATTTATTTTGTTTAGTTGCTTTCTTGAAATCATGTGACAATAATATTTAATTTGATAATTTAGTAGTTCAAAATTTTATTAAAGTTATATAGAGACATTTTACTAATTTTTTTTGAAGTTAACTTATATAATTGTTTCAAACTTTTATTTTATTCATGTTTAATTGTTTATTATTGGGACGTTATTCACTTGAAAGTATTTTATTTGGTCTCAGATACCATAGCTTATTCATGTAAGATTCAAAAACCTATATAGTATCTTTTGGAAGTTCAATTTAGAATACTTCACATTAACTATAGTTAGGGTCTTGATTTTTTTTTTTTTTGTTATGTTAATTACTTGCTGCTAAAGAGCAAAACTCTATATTGCTGGATATATGTTATAAACTTTCTGTTGTAAAGATTTCAGAGGATTCTACCTTTAGGAGAGGTGTTGCAGAAATTTTTATAAATAGTTTGATATTTTGATTTATATGAAAAGTAAAATTTGATACATTAATTCAAAACTTTTCTTAATTGAAGCTTTAGGGATATGAATTTATGTATGTATCTCATGTCGGTCATGTTTATATAGAGCAGAATCCATAACTATTAATGTCTTGTCCCGTCTTAATTTTTTTTCCTTTTGTCCAATTAAAGCCATTCTTCAATAGTCTTAGGACAAAAAAAAGTCGCTTCTTATACCAAAAAAACCAAGTTGCTTCTCTATCATGTGACTATGAGTGTTTATGGGATGGAATGAGATCAAGATTGCCTTATCCCTTGTCCTATCCCAAAAAATAAATGGGATTATTTTTGTCCCTTGTCTCTTCTTGCTCAGGATCAGGATAAGATGGGAGTAAGAGTCTAGGACATCTTGATAAAGAAAACAAAATGTTAAAGAGAGATCTAGATAATAATATTTATTAAATTACATAAATTGTTAAGTCTAAAAACCAAACAACATGAGTTCATAAGTTCAATCACTGAGTTACAATAACCAAGGTACGTAAAACTAGACCGATCATTGAACCAGTCATGGCACTAGGTCACGAGTTAGTGGTTCAATTAGGGTTGATCCAGGGGTTGAACCTGTGGCAAACCAGTCATAATTAAAATAATACAATTTAAATAAAAAGACATTAATTATAAAAACATTCAACTAAATCCGATCACTGAAAAGTCTAACAATAATAAAATACAACACTTTAAATATCTATCCTTACAATTAAAACCCTTCAATCTTAAAAGTCTAGAGAAGAGATGGAGACAAAGCTGAAGAAGAGACGGAGATTGAGATGGAAAAAAGATGGAGATAGAGTAGGAGCTTGGAGAAGAGACGAAGACTAGGCTAAAGAAGAGATGCCGATTAAGTATCCTGTGTAAGGAAAAGCATATACACATGTCATGATTCAACTATCCTTCAATATCTCTTTATAATTTTTCAAGATAAAAATAATTTGATTAATAAAGTATTAAATACGTAATATAATTATTATTAAATGAGCTATGTAAAAAAAAATATTTTTAAAAAATAATTTTATTAATAAATTAATTGGAATGCTGTGCAGTTACCTGCCATGTTCTCCAAAAGTAAAACTCACTCCTGGTTGGCACTCTTGCATCAATGCTTGTTCTCTAAATTCTCAATCCAAATCGCACCAGAGGAAAATGAAAAAGAAGAAGCAACGAAGCTCTCCCTCCGACATACACCAGAACAGAGACAACGCAAGCAAGGGAGGAAAAGAACTTGCAAGTTAAACGGTAATCTGCAGCAATGGTAGAACAGCAAGGAGGAAGAACAGCCAACGCTACATCAAGGAAGAGGAAGGATCTTACGATGCGAAACAGGGGAGAAGAACACGCAACGGAACAACACTCTGCACACACCCATTTGCTGGCTAACAGAGGAAGGATGAAAGGTGAAGGGGATGGCTAAAGATCTTTCCACCTCCCTCTCTCGTTTGAAAATGACGGTAGTGATGGAGAGAACTGAAGATCTCTCTCTCTCTCCATCTTTTTTGGACCCTTAAATAAGGGTGAGGAGAAGAGAGATATAGAACATGACCGTCAGATTTGTTTTCTTCTTGTTTTTATTTTGTTTTCTTTTTTGTTTTTAAGGGCATTCAAGTAATTTTATTGACTAGGCACAATAAAATATTACAGTTAAGGATTTGAACCCAACAATTAAAGTTATTTAGCAAGTAGAGCCTCCACTAAACCAATAATATACGTTGATAAATTTATCCCAGAGCTTTATAAATAAATAAAAAAATACTGTTCAATACCTTATCATAATTTTAGTTATTACTAAAATTAATGAGCTATTACAAGGGTTCTGAAAAAAAAAATTACTTGAACAAGTTTTTGAAAATCTTGTGCCTAGAAAATATGAACCAAGTTTTTGAAAATTTCAGAGTATGATATATTCACATTAATTTTTAAAGAGTTTATCATTGATATACATGGGGTTTATTATTGAAAATTTAAAATTTGACAAGGGATTCATCATTAATATATATAACATTATATCATTAATAAATATAATAAATAGACCATAATGCAAAATATAATAAATATTGAATTATTTATTTTGTTTGGTTCTATAACATTGGCTATATTACAAAAACCCCATTAATTAATTCTTCACACATTTGAATAAAATTATCTATATTTTAGGTCAACCCAACTCTCTTTTAAATATCCTACTCTCTCAAGTTCTATTTATAAAGAAGAGAGAGAAAATTATTTTATTTTTATTTATAAATCACATCATTAAATTTTTATTATAAATTTCATCTTTGACCCTCCATTAAAGTGTGTACATTTACACGATCTTGACGTCAAGGCTTTATGTTTATAAAATGGAAATAGTCTCATCCAGTAAGGTCAAAGTGCATATAAAAATAAAAGCATAAAACATATAGCCTGATCTAAAACTCATATAGAACCTATATGACAAATAGAAATACTATATATACTTTATTTGTTTATAAAAAATTTTTATAATTAATTATGATGAATATTAACCTTTCATGAATAAAAAAGAGTTAAATTTAATATTTATATTTTATTTGCAGTTTTTTACTAGGTCTTTTGAATAAAAAAATTTAGTTGAATAAATAATTATTATAAAATTGAGTATTTACTAATAAATATATTTAGTATTTAATTTGCATATAATATTGGATAATTATATTAGTTTAATTGCATCAAACACATGATTTTTTAGAGTTTCTATCAAATCTCTGTGTGTGTGTGTAAGACATCACTGTAATTTGTTTAAAAATATTCTATAATTATAAATGATTCTTATCTAATGATTTTTTCCATGTTATAAAAATATTTAATATAAACCTTTATTCTAAAACTAAAGAAATTAAAAATAGACTATCAATATATATTGCAAATAAGACCGACATGTGATTTGGCCCTACCTTGAGAGGGTTTTCATGTTAAATTAAAATCGTGGTAGAGTGTGTCTTGATTTATTTGTGTTGTTTTTATAATTTCTACTATATATTTGTTAGCAAGTAATAATAATTTATTTTCGTTGCATATATATTAACGTGTTGTTCTCATCACAAAGCTACATTATATATAATCCATGAATAATGTGTACCCATTTTAAGTTCTATATATATGAATACACAGCCCGCGATATCTGCTTGAGGAAAACAAAAACATCAAACCATTATCCAACTGGTATAATCATTCTGAATAGTTTTCAACCATTTTTTTTAAATAAGACTCGATAAAAATATTACAAATAAATATCGGAAACCTTTTTATATACAACATATTGGAAACATTTGAAATGTTGAAAATTGACTATATGTTTCTTGCATGCCCAAATTGCCTTAACAAAGTCATTTTCCTCCATACCATGATGTCTGCATAAAATGACGTATCTCTCAATAACTTTTACACCTCAATATGAAATTGGAATTTGATGCATCTCTTATATATTGAAAAAGACTAATTATATATCTTCAAATATTTTCTGCTGTGTACAAATAAAAAAGGAAAAGAAGGCTGGCCATAAAAAGAAGCAAGAGAAAGAGAGAGCCATAAAAGACAAGTACTACACGAAAAACGTTATATAACTACTTGTGATGTTTTCAAGTAACTACGTATATAAGCTTCAATCAAATACATATCTTCCATCGGCATATCTAGCTTCCATGTTCCGTTGTTCTTTTTTTTTTTTTCCCCTCCTAGGAAAAATAATCAGCAAGTCCTAATTTTCCTTAATTTTGTATTGAGTTCTTGTAGGTTATTTTGATTTAATCAAGTCTTTATAATTTAATTCATCACATATGTTAATCCGTAAGACTTAAAATGCTTAAATTTTTTATTTTTTAAAAAATGAAATTAAGAACTTTTATATTTTTATTAAAAGATTATATTAGAATTAATTACGTAATTTTTATAACTCAAAATTTATATATTTAGGTTATGTTTTCTAACTAAATTATATATATAATCTTCATAGAAAAGTAATAAAAATTATTTTTTCCTTTTTAGCTAAAAATATTAAATTAACTTTTTATAGATTTAAATTGTTTCTTTTAGAAATTCCAATCATTTATTAACAATTTTAACCTTGGTATGGAGAGAAATTGATACTAAGCTTGGTCAAACATTATAATGATTATGGAGGAAGACCTCAATATGTGCAATGGGCTAGAGATGCTGGAACTCCTATCAACAATGATGATGATTTTCACACTAACCCTATTATTAAGGATTACTACAAAAATCATGTCAAAATACGTACTTTAAAAATCTCTTAAATTTTACTTGTTTGTAATATTCGCACAATTCTTTTTTAAATATCTCTTAAGAATCACCCTTCCAAAGTCAGACTTGTTTTTTAATATATTTTCCCAATAGTTTTGCATTCATACAATAAGAGTTTAGGCATATATAATAAATATATGCCAAATTGCTAACTAGTATCTACTGATGATAATTTCATTACAGAATGTGTTAACAAGGATCAACACAATCACTGGAATAGCTTACAAGGATGAAGCAACCATCATGGCTTGGGAATTGATGAATGAACCACGCTGCCAAGTTGATTACTCTGGCAACACCGTCACTGTGAGCTCAAACTCAAGTGTCTTTCTTAGTTTTGGAAGTTAAATAATTAATATATATTTATAATTTATCTATATGCTAATAATTAATCATTAATGTTGTTTTATGAATAGACATGGGTTCAGGAGATGGCTCCGTATGTGAAATCCATTGACAGCAATCACTTATTGGGGGTAGGGATGGAGGGTTTCTATGAAGACTCAATTGCAGATAGGAAACAATACAATCCTGGTTACCAAGTTGGAACTGACTTCATTTCCAGCAATCAGATCAATGAAACTGACTTTACCACCATTCATGCGTATCCTGATAGTTGGTAAGCTTGTGTTGGTCCATGCATAACCACCATTAATTAGAAATCATGTTTCTTGTTTTCAAAAAAGGGATCAAAGGGCAATTTCACTCTTAGACTATAGGTTTAGGAATATCGAGAACTCTAAACTTAACTTTGGTGCAATGTCCCTCGTTAATTTTTAAAAATAGTGCAATGTTGCCCTTGTGGTTAATAAAGTTAACTTTGACCATTAGTTGACTAGAAAATGACCTAATATTATAGACATTGACTAAAAAATTATAGAAAAGGACCAATAAAATTTTCTTGGTCCTTTTCTTTAAATTTTAAGATCTTTTTTTGTAATTTTTCAATCAACTAACGGTCAAAGTTCATATTTGTTTACACAGGGCATAATATTGCATCATTTTCAAAAGATGAAGGGCAACATTGCACGAAAAAGAGTTTAGAATCCCAGACGCTACTAGACCTTTGGTTTAATGTAAAATTTATCATTTAATCCTTTTAAAAAAAGTCACTTTCATTTTATGAAGAATGATTGAAAGATTATATATATGAAACCATATCTGAACAGGCTAGCAGGGCAAAGTGAAGATGCACAAATGGAATTCATGCAAAGGTGGATGACTAGTCATTGGGATGACTCAGCAACAATCTTGAAGAAGCCAATAGTGTTTTGTGAATTTGGAAAGTCAAGAAAGGACCCAGGATATAGTATCTCTGCTAGAGATTCATTCATGAATTCTGTGTATTCAAGCATTTGCAATTTGGCACAAAAGGGAGGAACTTTTGGTGGAGGCTTAGTTTGGCAACTTCTAGATGAAGGCATGGACTCACATGATGATGCCTATGGGATTGTTTTGTCTAAAGATGCTTCTACATGCAACGTTATAAGTCAGCAATCTGATAAAATGACTGCTCTTGAGCTTCCTTGAACCTGTCCCAAGAATGACCAAAAGAGTTCTCTTAAATATAATTAGGGTTGGTTTCATTTTGTGGTGCTGAAATATGGAATAAAATATTGTTTCGTTTTATTAATAAATTTAATAAGATCATTTTGAGGTTTCTCATAAACAGATGAAGCATTTGGAATGGAAATGTTCTGTCAAATTGTATTGTTACGTTGGACTTCAATACATGTGTTGGTATATATCACTTGTGATAGATGAACTGTTGAATAATAAAATACTGTTTCATTTTGTTAATGATGATGATAAGATCATTCCAAGGCTTACTTACAACTAATGCCTTGTTGGACTTCACTGCATGCAATAGTCATGTTTCTTTCTCTTGAACAACAATGCAGGATACTTGTTTGATGATCAATGAAAATTGCATCTGCTTCGGCTAAATTCTAACTTTAGACGACCCAAGTCCAATCCATGCTTCTAGAAGGGAGGAAGTTATAGGAGCCAAAACCACCCATGCACGACGTCGGGGAAATTGGAGGAAATGAATGAAGATTTGGATAAGATGGCAGCAAGTGGCCATAAAAAAAGTGGAATTCAATGTGCAGCCTAGAGGAAAACTGCCGCTTTGGCCTACAAAAGGGCAAGTAAGAGACAATTGGAAGCCCCTTAATACTTTCTTCAACACCTTCAACACAGGAAACGTACATACACTTCCTTTTGAAAAATCCTCTCAAGTTCTTCCAAGGTAACAAGCCTCCAGCATCTAGTCGAGCAACAACACCTAATAAAATTGTAGCCTCGCCACTCTGGCCTTTTTCTATTTTTCTGTCTTACAATTTCTGTAATTTATTACAGAACAGTTACTTTACTATATCTACTCCCGTTATGCAGTTCTTACATTTATCTCCATCTCTATTTATTTATTTATTTTCTTTATTGTTAAGTACTTGCATCCAAAGAAATTGTGTAAAAGAACCCTGAAAATTCACCATTTGATTTACAAGTGAAGTTCATCGCACCATTTGAGAATTACCTCCTCTGGCACACCCCTACAAAGGCAAAAAATAACACCAACAACATTGTCAAATCATTTGTACAAATGAGTCTTAAAAATTGATGCACACAAAAATGTAGCACGTGCATGCCAAAATTGTAATATAATGGAGTGTCAAAGTAGTAATGAGGCATTAGAGGTCCCATTTTTCAGTTAAGTTAAGCAAAACAAATTGGAATTGATTTTGTAAAATAGAATTGAATTTAAATAAATGACTAAAGTTCTCAATCCAGCAACCATTTATGTTTAAGGCAATTTAAAGTCACTAATCCCTTACTAGCTTCATAGACCTTGTGTTTACCCAATTGATAAAAGGGTATTTTACTTGGATTTATATATGATTTTCACTCTTTTATTGACTGAATAATGCATAAGATAAGGATAAATAGATAAAACACATCATTTGGTAATTTTGGAATGTTTTCAAGAAAAGGAACAAAATAACATGGGAAAGGGCTTAAAACGTGAAGCCTAGAGTCAACCCTAAGAATCATGCCCACCACTAACCTCCGTTCACACACACACAAGTTCTAAAGGATATCACAGTGGACGTAACCATGACGAGAGAAATTGATCTCTCTGCATGAGTTCGCCTTTGCTAACAACCCAAGAACAAAAATCTCTCAGTAAGCGGACAAGTAGCCCAATGAAGACCCAGAGCTCTCTATTGAAGACCGTACACAGACAAACTTAGAGCATTTCTTCTCCATCACCAAACCTCTAGATCCTTCGCTCTTCCCCTGCACGTAGACAATTAAATGAAGAAGAGGCCTCTGGTTATCTCCCGTGCGCGGACACATTACAACTGTCTCCGACAACACGCGGACAAAGCCTCAGCACACATGGCAACTGCGCCTTTCATATTTAAATTGAGCTTAAATCAAATATTTGAGAATCAGATAAGATAAAGACGTGATCTAGATATATGAAAGGCCAAAGGGGTGAAGAAAAATTATCAATAAACCTCTTGAGAGCCTCTCAAAAGCATCCAATCTTTTACCCTAGAGAAGTGAGGCATCAAGGAGTCTGCAATCATGAATTCTTATTTGCGAATTGCTCTTAATATGTTCTTTAGTTTTTAAATTCCATGTCAAGATACGGAGTAGCGTAGCTGGGATGAAGTGTCTTTTTTTGGACTTTTTATTTCCCGTTGAACGCTTGATTTTATTATTTATAAAATTATTTGTTCCCTTTGCATCTATCTCTCTAGAATGTTATTCTTATCGTATGATGGGCCACCGTATGATATTTCTGTGGGGCTGTTTCACATATTGAGAGGTGAAGAACGGACCAAGACTTAGAGGGATAGACTTGAATAACTAAATTAAAGATAAATTAACGATTCAAGGCATTTAAAATTGTAGTTTAATGGTTAGTTTAAGGGTTCAAAAGGATTAATGAGAGCTAATTTTAACCTTAAATAAATACAGACTAATATATTGAGAAGTAATTAGGATTCCTTTGGAACGATTTTTGTGGTAATTGAACAAGAATAGAAAGATAAATAGGAAAGAACATCCAATGGATGAATCCTGACCCAAAGTAGTTATTGATTGGATAATTTTATATTGTTTTCGTTGCTTTTGATTTATTTAATTAATTTATTTATTTTTTAATTAAAAATATATTTTCTTTTCTTAAAATAACAATTATTGTTGTCCCTTTCTAGGAATTTTATTTAATTAATTTAGTTATCTTTTAATTGAAAATATATTTGCTTTTCTTAAATAACAACAATTATCGTTGTCCCTTGGGGCTAACTCTTGAAATACTCTAGGAATTTTACTACTCCATGGTATAGAAACTGGAAGGGAGAAAAAAAAATTCTTTGAAAAGTTGTTTATTGCTCATTATCCCCTCCCTTACACCATGGAGAGGTCATATTTATACTAGAATTAAAGGGGCAGGGTTACATAATGTTAAAGCTAATTATGAGATTTAATGGAGGTTACAAAACGAATGTTAATTTTCCATTTCATCCTCCCAGGGTTGGACAGAACTTGTCCTCAAGTCAAATCTTAGCATCTTCATCAACATATGGAGATAAATCGGCAACGTTAAAAGTGGCAGACACTCTATAGGCACTAGGCAATTCTACTTTGTAAGCATTGTCATTTATCCTTTGTACAATTTTGAATGGGCCATCAGTTCTAAGAGATAACTTGGCATTGGGTTGCTTAGGAAAATGCTCTTTTTGCATATGTATCCAAACCAAATTAGCCACATTAAGACTTATTCCTTTTAGTGTTCGTCTCACTGCTACTTGACTTTTAAATTCTGCCTTTGGATTCTTCCTCAGACCTGCGCATGTAATTTCTTTATTTCTTTAGCCTTTTGTTCAGCAACTGCACTATAGTGTTGCTTGTCAGGTGATGGTGCTAGATCTAGCGGGCTTAGAGGTCCTGTGCCATAAACAACTTTAAATGGACACTTTTCTGTCGCTTGTTTGTTTGAGTTGTTGTAAGAAAACTCAATTTGGGTAATGAGGCAATACTATCTAAATTCTTCCCCATAAAACTACAAAGAAAATTTTCAAGAATCTTGTTTACAGCTTCTGTTTGGCCGTCTATTTATGGATAATTTGCACTACTGAATTGGAGTTTTGTTCCCATTTCCAAATAGTTCTCCCAAAATGGCTGAGAAATTTAGCATCATGATCAGATGTGATCATCTTAGGAATGCCATAAAGTTGAATAATCACTTTAAAGTATAGGCCAGCAACTTGCCTATGAACCTTTGCATGCTCTTAGGGACTCATTATATAGGCAGGCTTGTTAGGAATAATGGTACCTGGAATGAAATCAATAGCACATTGTATGTCCTGCATCGATGGCAATCCAAATGAAATGTCATTTGGTATCACATCCAAAAACTTAGCTAACAGTTGTTAAATGTCTGCTGAAATGGTGGAAACTGCAGTATTAGTCTCAAGTATTAGGATCAAGCTCAAAACTTGGACTTCTGCTTTTGTCACCTTGAACTGCTCTCTAGTTACTAGGGACACCAATGGCTTAGACTCTTGCTTGCTCTAGCTATACTCCTCGGGCGGCAAAGGCGTTAGCTTAATTTTCACTCTGTCCTTGTTGAAATAATAGGTATTCGTACGGCCATCATGAAATGCATGTCAGTCATATTGCCAAGGTCTTCTATAGAGTAGATGGCAGGCATCCATTAGCACAACATCACACCACACTTCATCCTAGAATTTGTTACTAATGGAAAAACTAATCAAACAACATTTAGAAACCTTTACCTCACTACCTTTGTTAAACTACTGGAGCTTGTAAAGATAGGGATGGTTTTGGGTAGGCAATTTTAGCTTTTCCACCATGTAGTTAGATAATACATTCTCATAGGTTCCATTGTCAATAATGACATCACACACTTTCCCTTGAGCAGTGTAATAGGTGTAGAAGATATTATGATGGAGCCAAGGCTCTTCCTTTGCTTAGGCTGTGTGCAAGTTATGTTGAACCACCAACATCTCTCTGTGGTCAGCAAGTACAAACTCTTCATCATATACTAGCTTTTAGGTGTCGAATGTGGATTCTTTTTCTTCTATAGTCTTAGATGCATCATACTCGTCTCCCTCTATATTGGTGATGACTTTGCAGTTAGGACACTCCAAAGCAATGTGACCCATTCCCTAGCATTTGAAACATTTAATTGTCTTAAACCTATATTCTCTAGCCTTTGGTGGAGGCTTATTGTTAATACCAGAATGCTGGGGATGAGCTCTGGAAGAACTGGGGAAATCCTGAGCCCATGAAGATAGCTAGTATGAGGCCTTCCTAGGGGTTTATTTTTCAATATGGATTGCTAGTCGAAACACTTCATTTAGAGTCTAGTATTGTTGCAGCTGCATTTGATGGCTAATTGTAAAGGGTGTCCTAAATTAAGACTTAAATTATCACACTAACTATGGTTAATCAAAGATTAACCTAAAAGGATTATCCAATACGAGATTAAC